GTTCAGAGGATGCTTTCAGTAGTCAAAATGGCGACCGTGCTTGAAGATTGTATAACAGAAGAGCAGAGTTCTATTGTGCGTTCTTTTTTGTGGGCAAAAGGATTCGAGTCAAAGGATATTCATAAAGAAAGTTTCCCTGTTTAACCGTGGGAAGTGTTTGTCGCGTAAAGCGGTTCACAACTGGGTCGAGAAACGTGGCAAACGTTTCGTCGCTGATGAAGAGGTTGAAACAGAGGTGCGGAAGTGGCTAAGACAACAGTCAGAAGACTTCCATGCTGCGGGTTTCGACGTATTGGTAAAGTGATGGGACAAGTGTATCAATGTTGATGGAGGATATGACGAGAAATATGTGTTTTTCTCCACGTTCACATATCACCCATGTTTTACGTTTTATATCCATTTGTGGCCTACTTACTGGCTCACCATCGTAACATTTGGTGGCCACAAGAAATCTCCATCCTACGGAACTGAAGTTAATATGGGGAGGAAGAAATTGCAAAGAAAATGGATTTAGCATACATGGTGAAAGGGGAGGGCTAGGTAGGCAGTGCTCCGCTTGACTGGAGTCTCAAAGACAACAGGACAGAGAAGAAGCAAGGACCAGGAAGAGAACTACCGAAGATGGGAAGCTCTAAACGAAGTCAGAAATGAATACATGCCGTGTGGATTGTTTCCGGGGAGGGGGAGGAGGAGGGAGCAGCCAGAAATTTTTCTTACAAACTTCCGTTTAGGGCTACACCTACTGATCGTCCTTGAGTGTTCACGGTTCACAAATATGTGAAATATTTTAATTTTCTGCTTACATATCTTACTTTGAAAAAAAAAATAAGTTTCTGAAAGCCTGAACAAGTCTTCATAAAACTTGGTATGTATATCACGGCGCCAGATTGAACGGCGTACTTCATAAATCCCTCCCATCGGTCTGTGTGTATGTATGTGTATCTCCTATTGTTGCTAGGCAACGGTTCGCTAGAAATCCCACTATCGTTGCTAAGCAGCGGCTCGGCAAAAACTTTATCGCGGCAATAGGGGAATTTTTGGACGCGTCGTTTTCCATGCGGTGCGTGTCGTATCAGGAAAAGTAGACGATTAGTTCTTCCCCGAATCACTTCTTGTTTGGTATTAACTCCAGATTTTTGTATTTTTTTCGGTTATCGTTTTGGTACCCGTGAGTTACTGAACGACCCAAGTAACTTTACAACTTTACCGACATTCTGATTATTATGTAGCGACGGAAACAGCAGAAGTTTAAAAACAAAATCAGAAGTCTAGCCTTTCCAAAACAGAACAAAATGCCTAACTTAAAGAAAAATCTAACCTCGTGGATTTGTTGGAGGCAAACTGTAATGTCAGGTTATGGGTTTAATTTTTACAAATAAACTTCTGAAGTATACAGCGCTAACGTAGTGGACGAAATAGAAATAGCTACTTGATCACTTGCTAATAGGCAAGTACCTTGATTGTTTTAAAATATCCTAGTGAAAGAAATAAATGCAAGGCTTCCCCCCACCGGCGCCCATGGAATCATGAAATCGAATTTTAAGGAGTGTCACAATATGGGGGTCTGGTTGAGGCACTGTTCTGACGCCATGTGCCCCTCCCAAGAAAAACTAGAAACGGAATATTCAGATACTAGGGACCCCGCGTACTCACAATTCAACAATAAAATTCAATTTCGAAAAAATACAAAAACACAGGTGTCATTAAGTTCTTCCAAAAATTGTGTTGTTTTTAAGAAAAAAAAATACGAGACTACTGTTCGCAGATACATCACCTATGGTAAATAGAGCGTGCACAGCTCTACAGGCATAATGTGTTGCGACAATCTCACGCTGCATACAGACAGTATATTAATTAAATCACGTGTATAACAAAGACCTAGAGGCCTAACTGCATACAACAAATATATAAATTGCTTCAAATCTTCTTCGTATTAATTTAAATGATGATAGAATATGATATGACCAGGAGTTTTCGTGTTGAAATTTCGAAACCGAGAGACAATTAACGGTAGAATAATTTTAGAATCCTGGTCTTCTCACGGTGAAGGCACAATATGCAGTAATTTACTTTGAAATTCACTAAATACTATAAATTTTCAGTCCGTACCTCACAGGAAACACATTATGTCTCCACTACAAAGACCAACCGGTTAATACTGTTTAGGGAAACAGCCGCTGTTTATTGTGAGAATCATGCAGGTCACATAAATACACTGTGTGTGCAAAATAAAAGTTTAAAATGTCACTATTATTTTAATTGGTTAGAAGCGCGCAGTTTACACGTCACAGGATGAAGTCATTACTAAATTAGGAGGAGAGACTGAAGGACTCTCAAGATCAAGGCCACAGCGTCGATTCTCCACTGTGCCGCCGAAATGAACAGTAACACGATGAAAATAAAAACGAGAAATGATTCAAGAACTGTAGCTAAAGCAGAATGAATGGCATGTGTCTTTTAAGATTTTAGCTGTAATAGTGTGCGGAAAAACGAAAATAGGCTTATAACACTGGAGTGGTATGAAGCAGGCCTACATACATTTTGAAAATTCGTTTTGGCGTTCTCGCAACAGAGTTGAAAAAAAATGTGCCTTCGCTGAACCGATTTTCATTAAATGCTATACCGCTGAGTTTAGTTAAATCTGTGGACACATTCCCATTTCGGTTAAAATCGTTCATCAATAATAGGCTCTTTACTTGAAGGCCTACATGAGTTTCTGTTCACGTAATTCATAAACGTTTACCGGTGCAGAAAATTTTTCCCAATAAACATAGTATAGAAAAACGAAACGTTTTATATCCAACAGTCGTTTCCGTAATCCTTAAGGCTATTTTTACTTAACGGCGCTGTCTACCGAGGCTATACAGCGTCATGGAGCAGTTGATGGAATGAGAATTAAAAATGAAAGCCGAAGTACTATGGGAAAACCCTGCAACGGTGCCACAATGACCACCACAAATGCCAAATGACCTGGCCTGGGTTCGAACCCGGACCACCGTTGTAGAAGGCCGGTAACTAACCGCTTGAGCAGTGGTACGACCCGAGACTTTCAAAATCAAGATGCAATAATAAAATGAAGGCTCCAAAACTGCTACGTCATACGTTATACGCTAATTTCCTAAGTTGTTTTAGACTGAGTCTATCACTGATCTTGACACTGGCATACTGAAGGGACGAATCAGCTGTTGTGGATACGAACACACTGCAGGTGGACTACACTGAAACTTCTTTGCATCCCATTCTGTCACATACCAATTGTCCAACTTTAGCATTCAGCACGGATTCCTAGGGGATCGAACCATGGTGACTGAGTTCCCTCCTTGCTTCATTTTTTTAGTTTATCACGAGGCTCATACAACTGTGTACAGAGCGGACAATCTTCAACAGACAACAGCGGTCACCTACATTTGTACTCCTACTTTCACATGGTCTTAAGAATAAACCTTTCTCCCCGAGTACGATTTCCATTGATAAACTTTTTGAAGCCGTGAGTTCGTCTAAATACCACTAAAACAACGCGGTCCCACTTCGAAGAAAAACGCGTTTACATTAATCGGTTAATGTCCTCTGGGAAATACTCCCTGTTTATTCCGAAAATCCTAATACTTAAGACATACATACATACACACATTGTGTGGGCTAAATGAAGTTCTTGAATGCTGAAGCAAGTAGTGCAGCCCTGTCCAACGCGGCGCCCGTGGTATATTTTTCTGGCGCCCTCCGTAACCACATATAATTGAGTCGATTATTAATATTAATTCAAATTCTAAGACAAGAGACATTTTTGAACGTCTGATTACTGTTAAATATTTTCGAAATATTTTATTATTATTATTATTNAGCAAATGATGCTCGAGATGGTTCAAGTTCGTATAGCAACAGGCGTGACCAGAGTGGTTTGAACGGCTGTTGTACTGCGATGTGGAAAGCAAATGGAAAAACTACCACATTATCACTTTTCCTGGATAGTCTCTTTCCAAAAACAGAAGATCGCATTAAGTGGAGAAACTGTTTTGGAAGAGACTGTCGCCTGACAGATTACTGATGATGATGATGATTAGTAGTAGTAAAAGTACTAGTAGTAGTAGTGTGTGGTGGCACCCACACCTCCACAGGCACCAGTGAATTGTGCCCGAGTACATAAGAACGTTGGACAGCACTGAAGTAGTGCATGTAGCAACAACTATTTTCATCTAAATGATAAAATAAGTCAGGAAATTCTCGCCGAAGCGTGAAGCTTACCACTCAACTCGATCTAGTGCCGAGATTAGAATTACGTACACATATACCACTCTCACATAAGTCTTCATGTTGTCGTGCTTAATTAAGCAGAGAGGCAACTTTGGCTTTATCCTTACAGGTTACTCAACATTTCAAGCGTATGATGATTCCAATTCTTACTTTTGTGTAAATATCTCCAAAACTACAAGACGTATTGAAAAAAAAAAGGACTTGGTTGCTACAACTTTTGCTGAAAACAATGTTCACTCTGAAAAATAATTTGTGAGTTTTGCGCCCAGAAACGCATGCAGATCATCGTGTATGTACCCGTTACTGCTGCCCTTTTTTAAACAAACGAGGAATATATCAACAAATTTAAATTTCATGCAGGTCCGTTGCGAACGCCCCAGAAGAACGTCTTCTCTTGACTGATAACGCCACCTCTTACGTTACGTAAGTCCTTAAAACAAATTCTGAAAATAAACACCATCACCTAGTCCAGTGGTTGTCAGACCGCGGCCTAGTAAATTCTTTTAACGGGAAGGAGACGAGAGCCCGGTACCGGGCCGCGACCCGGAGGTTGAGAAACATTGGTCTAGTCATAAGAGTCTTAAAAATTTGTGACTGTCAAATAGGAGTAGTGATTCATCAAAATAATTCCAAGATTTTCTTGTAGGCCGAACGTTTGTAGTAGGAATTGGATTCTAAATTAATTTGTAATGGCTTTGTTTATGAAGGTATGAAACTACAAGAACTAAATAAAGCAAAGGTGCACTAACCTAATGGCAAGTCGCATAATAGACCACAAGCTGCAATTGCCCCTGCTGATGCTCCCGATATCTTGTCAAGAAGCAGATGAGGTGCATATTTCTTGAAACATCCAGCTACACCAACGTGGTATATTCCCAAAAACCCACACCCAGCAAATGACAGATTCATGTTGCTTTAACTCAGACGGACACAGATAAATACACACCACGCAATCAGTCCACAGAAAACAGTATGACAGTATGGATTCTCACGAATTAGCACTGTAAACTTTCCTTCTGTTCACTAACACCTCCTAAACTCCACTGTATAAATCTGAATCTGACGTATTGCTTTTGGTCCTCTTCTGCACTGATAGGAAGTAAATATTACACTAGATTTGTTCCCACCTTTGATGACGGAAAGCAAAATACTAGCGCTGATTGGTTATCCCTCAGTGGTGTGGTGGTAACACTCCGCCTATATTCGACAGTAGCGCCTCTACCAGGAACGGTTGAAATGATGTATATTCTCTCTGACGCTCGTCGATTGCGCTCAACGATCGTCGTACAACGTTTCTTCCGTTTGGTTGGTACGGTATTAACCGGCAGCTCCAAATCTACTGGTGTCTACAGCGAAAGTACTGCAACGTGTCGCCTGTGTGACGCGGCAGGAATAAATTGCGTGGGTCTTCGGATCGGAACGAATTCTTTTATTGGACGCTTATTTGTACACACACTCGTACAATTATTTACTTAGAGCGCTATTGCACCGTTAGTACACTCTGGAACTCTTCTGCTAAGTCTGAGCACAACCTGCTTCTATCTCGCTAGAGAGAGAGAGAGAGAGAGAGAGAAAAAAAGCTATCCCTTTACCAGGCCGTGAAGGCCAATCGGGCTGTGAGACGTTGAGGGTCCCAGATTATCTAGACAATCGGCTCAAAGATGGCGGTAAGGTTGTGAGCCTTACGCGCCGGCCGCGCTTTACTCCTCCGGAAAATTATTTAATTAATTCCTGGTACTCAATTCTGTTAGAGGCTGAGTCGAGTGGAATCCAAAATTGTGGGTACAAAACTCAGAATCTCTACTGTGATTTAAGAACTGTGATTTCACTCGGAATCTCTTGTGATACTCGTGATATTGAACTCTCGCCGGAGCTACACACACTACACTCCAGCTTTCGGAAGGAATAGGGGATACCTTATCGAAGGGTTAATTTCATCCGTTGCTGCGCAACGAACAATCCGTTGCTTAGGAAATGCTAGCCTTACTCAATACAGAATACAGAAGTGTTTGGTTTCATCCGTTGTTACGTAACGCTCCCTCTGTTGTCCTTTCATATCCGGTGAAACGCGATTGTTGTTTCGGCAATTCCTATGCAGAGGCCCACTGTTATTGCGTTTCCATAGAAGTATCCCTTCCGGATTCACGACATGCGACAGTACTTTAATATTTTTGGCCGCGCCATAGCTCAGGCGGTTAGTCGCTGCCTTCCTACCACCGCGGCCCTGGTTCAAGCCCGGATCTAGTCATGTGGGATCTGTGGTAGACAAAGTGGCGTTGTGACAGGTTTTCTCTGAGTACTTTGTTTTCCCCTGCCAATCTTCATTCCACCACTTGCTGGTACAACAGGCCTGTAGTGACCGCGGTACCGAGTGTACTCAGTCTCACTCCACTAAGAAAATAAAAAATAACTTTTAGTTTTATGTATTTATGGTTTCTAACGTAGTCTGGTAAAGGTAAAAAGGTTAAGTCGTCCCTGTGCTTAATTAGTTAAACATTATGCCATGAAGACATATGCGGGAGTGGAGGCATAGCTCCACCTTTCTTGAGCTCGGCACTAGATTGAGGTGACGAGTTAGCTTCACGCCCCTGCTGATTTACTCTCTGGGAAAGAGCAGCGCTACCCATTGGATAGGAGGCTGGGCCCTAGAGTCGATCTGGACGCTGTGGAGAAAAGTCTTCCCCCTGCCGGGAATCGAACCCGGGCCGTCTGGCCTGTAGCCCGACGCTGTACCGACTGTGCTATATAACGTAGCATGGTAGAATGATAGATTCGTTGTTGGGTTCGTGAAACAAGATAAACTCAGCTCTCGTACAGTGCTTCCGGAAGACGCCGTGCGAGAAGAAATCAATATTATTTCATACTTGTCACTGGGATACGGACGTTTTATCAGTAACTCCGTGCTAGTATTGCTTGTTGCATCTAAACAAGGCTAGCAGTGCCCACTTCTGCTACTGACATCAATACTTCTAGTCAGAAAGTAACGTTTCTTATCGCACAAATGACGTGTCATGTGAAAGGAATACAAGTCCACGAATTCTTAACTTTGGCATTGGATTAAGGCGAGTGACCAGAGTTACGTTCCGGCCGCTTTAACGCGGAGGAAAACGTCAACTGTCTGGGTACGAGAGAGCGGGTGATTTCAGCATGGTGGAGAAGAGAAATGCCTTTGCCCCTGCCATCATAATGAAGTAGCACTGATGAAGTCTACAGGTTTTATGAGAAATATTTCATATTGGTTGTATAATTTTTAGAGATATCCTAAATTATTGTCCTTTAAAAGAAAATAGTATATAATTCCCTTTAATTTCCGTTAGAATTTAAACTCTATATGGCCGACAGTGCATCTCTAAAAGCAAAGAATATTAAACATTGTGAATTTCGCCTGAATAATAAGTCACAAAGAATATTAACCCCTTCTAGGGTGAATTTCTTCTGGATAATAAGCTACAAAGAATATTAACCATATCTACGGTGAATTTTTCCTGAATAATATGCTGCAAAGAATAATGAAACTCTCTAATTTCGTCTGAATAATAAGCTACATAAAATCCGAAGCTAAATAGTGTCTAAGAATTGAGTACATTTCGTTTTCATTACAAAGAGCAGTCGGTTAATGTACAGGAAAACAGCCACTGTATGTTCTTAGAGCCAAGCGAATTCAACAAATAAATTATAAGGGGAAATGCATTATTTAACTTAAACGCATTTGTTTCAAGTTTACATACAGTTGTTCAAGAGGGGGATTACAGATCCCACGTTGTTGCTACGCAACCAACTCTAGCTAGTAGGAAAGAAATGAGTTAATTATACAAAAAATATGCAAGGTAAACTGAGAAGAAAACATGTTTGGGTTTCAATACATGTCTCGTAATCTAGAAAAGGTGTAAAAATCATGCACATAGATCATAAAGTCAGTCCTCAACAAACCTGTACAGACGAGAAATAACACTTTCAACTGTGAATCACCTTGACAAACAATTATGAACTATATCTAATTGTTTCTTCGTGGGAAAATAAATAAGGTTGAATTCTTTTGATACTCTGACTACATACAAAAGATAACTAATGCACTGAGGTCCACGTTTCAAGGTACTCTGTGATATCATCATAATTTGAGAACACAATGAAAGCTGGGAGTTATAAACTGCGCGCTGACGGACTTCGAACTTTATAAACTGACTGTTGAGTGCTGAGTAAATAAAAGTTAACTGGTTTTAAAAAATTAACTGCCGGTATCTTACACAGATGCATGATTTATACACAAGTGGCTTGACCTAAGAGCCAGATGTTTCATTTAAGATCCTTTTGTATTACCATCCAAAGAAGCCAGAAAATTCTATTTCTTTTGCCCTGAGATCCATGACGTTTCGGAATCTTACCATTATTCAGATATAATAATAATACGTAAAGATGGCCCTGTCCTTAACTAATTAAGCACTATGCCATGAAGGCGTATGGGGAGTAGATACATAGACCCAAATTTTCTTAACCTTGGGACTAGTTGGAGGTGAGTGATCAGCTTCACATCCCGGACGCTTTACCCCCGGGGAAAGTCCCCGGTACCCATTGGATAGGAGGTGGGTGGGCCCCAGAGCCGGTCTGGACGTTGTGGAGAAGAGAAAATTCTTACTTATTTGCGTGCTTACTCAACAGCCCAATTATAATTGTTAAAAACGATCTACAGCAAAATTAGAATATGTTATCACTCAGTCATGGGGCTGAGCCTTTCTTGAGAAGCTGCCAATTGTGCAGATACTGAAGAAATTCCCAACATTTTATGGAACCCGAAGGTTCATTACCGCGTTCACAAGTGCAATTTACTGGTCCCTATCCTGAGATAGTTTGATCCAGTCCATTCCATTCTATTCTATCTCTCTAAGATCCATTTTAATATTGACCACCCACCTACGTCTTGGTCTTCCTAGTGGTCTTTTTCCTTCTGGTCTTCCCACCAATATCCTCTAGTAGCCTCTTCCCTTCAGTACTCCCGACTAAAATTTTGTTTGCATTTCTCATCTATGCGATCATATTTTCCGGCATCTTATCATCATAATAACCTGTGAAGTGTAAAAAAAAATTATTTGTTTCATTCTGGTCCGTCACACTAACAATATTATCAAAGATAAAACAATTCCGTCTAGTGTGACTGGTGAAGTTTTTTTATTTCAATTCTTCATGCCCTTACATGTTTCGGTCCTTAGAGACCACCATCAGAGGGATATCGATACAGTTTGGAAATCACTATTACACTAGGTGTTCTGAATGTTGGAAAAAAAAAAATATATATATATATATAATGTTGACAATATACAAATGGATACAAAATCCAAAGTTTTCACAACTGTAGCGGCTGTCTTGATATATATATATTAACATTTGTTATTTAAGTTAGAATTTATAAACAAAATAGGTTCGCGTCCTCTCTCTTATCACCTCTCTTGACGGGGGCCGAACTTGTGCCGCCTGTCTTTCTTGAGAAGGTTCTTTGATGTCGTCCTGTGGTTGTTCGTGGCGCACTGTTTTGTAAAAAAATATATCCCTGTAACAGGCCATGAAGGCCCATACGGTTGTGAGACGTCGAGGCTCCCACATTTTCTAGGCAATCGGTTCACAGATGGCGGTGAGTTTGTTAGCCTCATGCACCTGCCGCCCGTTACTCCCCAGGAAGATTCGTGGTACTCGTTTCTGTTAAGGGCTGAGTCGACCCCAGGGCCATAGTGCGGCTGCGAGGATTAGGTAAATTGAAAAAATCCAGTGACCTCATCGGGAATGCAACCCTGTTTGTAGCATAGTGCCTCAACCGCGTGCCCCGACTTATGAAGCGTACATGTCAGTATGTTCCTTATGACGCAGGAGAATCCAATGAACTTTTTAGGGCTTCGAGGGCGCTACAGAGAAACCACCTACTACGCATTTTCTGTTTATAAAGATGGTTCCAGAATGCAATATCAGTGCCTTGTTTTGCTGTTAAGTCTGTAAATAGTCCTATTTACATACGCAAGAATCCCCACATGACGTGTTGAGCAATCCTGATAACGGCGATGGCTTCAGAACTGTTTTCGAGTCCGTAGCTTCAGAATGGACGTGTTAAGCTCAGAGGATCTAGGAACACACAC